CCGACCGTTGCGCTCTCAAAGTTAACCACGACATTCCGTTTCCCTGTTACTGTTCATTACTTTAGATAAAATAAAATAAAACATAATATAACATCCTGCTCAGTTTATTTCTAGATCTCTTGCTGTGTTTAACTCCTAGCCTGTGTTACACAAGAGGTTAATGACCCCCACCCACTTCGGGGCGGCCGACCGCCAGGAGCGCCGACCGCCATGACCGCCAGGACCGTCAGGCTATGTCATCTCCATGCTGTAATCTCCTAGCAGATCTTTCGGTTGGGTGGCAAAAGACAGTATCCATTGGCCATCCTGTATCCATTTAGCCTGGGTACCATCCTACTTGTATGCCGGGGCTCCAATACTCGCTTCCCTAAGAAGTACTTCTTAGGGATGCGAGTGTGGGAGCCCCGGCATACAAGTAGGATGGTACCCAGGCTAGTATCCATTACCCAACCAAAGCTAATGGACACTCCTCTGGCCAATGGATACAGTCTTGCCACCGAAAAATCTGCTTGGAGATTACCATGCTGCACAGGCCTAAGTTTGTGCACACGCACGTGCCAAAGTAGTGGGTGCAATTCCGATGCATTCCGCCAGGGGGCGCAGCTGCTTGGAAGTCTTGCTGTTCGTGAGGCTGTGGATGGGGGGAGTTCAGTAGCCTGACGTCCTAGACAGGCAAGGTAGACTGGTAAGGTAGCCTGGTAAGGTAGACAGCCCAGGTTTTTCCGTAAACCCTGCCACGCCCCCTCCATGCCCCCAGGCGAGACAGACACAAACAAAAGAGAAACCCGAATACAATGCAGCTTTTACAACTAAACAGATCCAAGCCAAAGGGCGTAGACAGATCGCAGACTGTTGATCATATTCGTGTAGTTTCACTCTGACAAAAATATTGTCGTCCCAATTTTTTTTTTTAGCTCCAGACAAAGCCACCTCCATTCATCAATCAAAACAACCATATGGCACGGCCTGTCGTATCGAGCATGTGGTCAAACCATACAAGACAGATTGCCGACAGATACGAGGAACGAAGACACATCAACGCACGGTCGCCAACCGATGCACGAAGATGCCACAACACAGTCTGTCCCTCCGCTGCCCGTTTTTGTCCTCACCTGTTTGTACTTTTCCCTTCAAATCTTCCGCCATCCTGACCACCAGATGTTCCACTTCGAATTCGGAGCTGTCGGTCAGTGCCGTATTTGCCCAGTCACAAGTATGCAAATGAGTTAGCCAGTCACACGTATTTGAATACATGTGACTGAGTAATCATTTGCATACTTGTGACTTGGCAAATATGGCGAACTAGGGTTCTGCCGAAAGTCGGTACAAACTGTCGTAAAATCAGCTGTTTCGGGCGAATCGATTGTGCATAGGGGTGTTTGTAATATTACTACACCCAACAACGTAAAGTGTCTTCTTTGTGAACATGTAAAGTACAAGAATAATAGTACTGAAATATTTTATATCTAAAACATTATGTATACTTCATCTTTTTGGAAATTTACTTAAATAAATTTTAGATATTTTTCTCCAGTGGCACCCGCCTTGCAGATTGGTAGAGTTCTTCTTCGTGGGAAAGTAAATCATCGACCTTTAACCCTCTGAGCTTCGAGAGCGATCGGTGATCAGTGCTAAATGATCGTCTGCAAATTGCAATTAGAGTACATAAATGACGACCTCTTAATGTGAGAAAAGGAGGAGACATAGACGATCTTTTTCTCCAGAACTTGGCAGTCTTGTAAGCCCCGGGTGTTGTGTTATTTCCGATGAGCGGGTCTAAATGTGTGATCGCGAATTCCTACAGTAAACACAGTGCAGTGCACCCAGTCGACACGCGCGGCCAGCTGATTTTGACGTGACAGTTCCCACCGTTGTAAAAATTTTATAGTTTCCAGCCCAACTCTGTGCTTGGATGACGACCGACATGGAGAGTCAGGAATCATCACTGGTGGAGTCATCCATTCAGGGTAAGTTCTGTCATTTCCGTACACCACCATAGGTGGATCAAAACAGCTTAGATTTTTATGTCAACAATTAACTCAGAACGATGATAACAGAGAAGAACTTTATTGCACGACAGTTACACATAGTACAATGTATGGCAAAGTACAAACAGCAACAAAAAATAACAAGCAATAAAATAAATGTGTTCAGTAAGACCTAATGTAGAATAAAACCTAACATACCCTACTAGTAATTACTCAAGCAACAAGGGCTAGCACAAGTCTTTGATAACATCAATACCCTTATCAACACTGTAATTTGCGGATAATTGTTTGGGTGTGTGAGCTGTGGGTTTGTGTGTCTGTTTGTCCAGACAGTAACATTTAGGTTGACAGCACGCGGGTGGGGGAAGAATAATTTGACAGGCAGAATAACAGTTCAGAAGCTACATGTGCATTGCTATTTTTAATAGACCTTAGAAGAAAACCTCCTTGGACTCCTTATGGACTCCTTTGAAATGAGATGAACTTGAAGATCACGAAAACTCAAAATACTGAAATCTATGATACCATATGCATATTATGACGGGTTTGCAAAATAGTCCTTACGTAGTAAATGGTTCATCGATAAACAAGGAACAAATCGGCCTTGCAGCAATAGCTGAATTGCGCCGAAGTTGACAATCATCAAGTTTAGTAAAACCAATAAAAAAAGTATATATTATAATATAATATTCATTATAATTCAATATTCATTATTGTTCAATAACAGCATTAAGAAATAATAAATTAATGTAACTTTGATTTTTTTTTAAATACAAATTTCAGTATCATGGTCAGTTTTACCTTAATGAATACTAACACAGTTTCTCAAGTAACTGGATCTATGTTGTTGTATGTTGTATATTTCAGGCCTGCTGAGTGATATGGACACCACAGAAGATAAGGATGGGGAGGCTATAGAGATGGAGGAGTTACAGCACAGGCAGGAGAACAGGTGAGGGGAAAAATTATAATCATGGAGGTAAAAATCATATGTGATTGTCACATGTGATTTTTACCTCCATGCTGTAATTCACTTTACGTTCACAGTAGCTAAATTTCATGGTCTGAAAAAAATGGAGGTGTTCACAGAACTATAGTGGCAGCAGAAAAAAGAAAGTCAGCAGATTACTTCTTAATGGTATTGTCAAGTTCGTAGTACAGAAGTGACAGTGAAAACCATTAACATAAAAGTACCATGAAAAATCAGGAACTACAGTAACACTAAAGTAAGTTATTATCAATTCAGCTGAAATGTTAGCCTCTGGTCTGTAACTTCTTCTTCCCTTGCAGTGACGACTTTAACATGTCTCCAGATTATGATGACATACTTTAAATTTTAAGTACTTTAGTTTTTTGTCCTAGTTCCTGCTCAAACTAAACTTGAAAGCGTGCTCCCTTGCCTTGATGTTTTCTATGTTTTTTTGCAGGACCTATGACGGCATCACTACAGGTTATGTCCTCCTGGCTTCTGTGATGGCAGCATTGGGAGGAGTGTTGTTTGGATATGACATAGGTTAGTGTAGCATTTACTCTTATCTTATGTATGATTAAGATATAATAAAAAGGTATCTTTTGTAGATCAAAATGTGTGATGTTCACCCTCATATTGTCTAGCCTAACAAACTCCTGCTCTGTTTATCCTTACTCAAACACATTCATATTTATGGTGACCATCCCCTCCAGCTCTGTCCTGCCACTTGCTACATAATGTAACCCAACATCACAGGCAGGGTGTCTGCTACAGCACCAGTTACCATGGTGACAGCCATCTGGTCCAGGTCATCGACCTTATTTGTTTGGAACTAAAGAAGAAGGAGCAGAGCAAAGACGATCTGTTTTCATTCTGTGAATCATAATTATGAATTTATCACAATATTTGTTCTATCCAAAGTGCAATAATCTAGTGCAATATTTGATGCTTATGCTTAAGTTATGTACATGTTAAATATATTCTACCTGTGTATCTCATTGTAAAAGCTGCCCAATTCAGCCTGCGGGCTGCAATGAGCAACTTATATGTATGTTGTATGCATGTTCTTTTCGAAATAAACCAGTCTGTAATATAATATATAATAATCCAATGAACAAAAACTCAGGTGACTATTCATGTATTAATCATTACTAAGTATATCATACCCGGGCCGCGATAACGTTTGATAATGGGTTCCGGACCGGGCCGTACTTTACGGTACGGCCCGGTCCGTTATCGCGGACCGGGCCGTACTTTACGGTACGGCCCGGTCCGGAACCTGTTATCGAACGCTTCCATGGCTTCCATAAAACGATTCGAACGCGTTTCGTGTGCCCCTTTCGAAAATTCGAATACAGAATCCGGACGTTGGAACTGATGTTGTTGCATTTGAGGGTTTAGGGGCACCAACTTTTGGCTCATCTTGCATTGAAAGGCGCGTTTTCTTGGGTGGGTATGACATAAATAAAATACAACACGGTGTATTCCGCATCACCCTCGGTCCCGGCCCTCCCACGGTCGGGCCGATACCTCGGGCGATACGGAATACCCCGTGTTGTATTCTATATGTGTGTTATTCCTTTTGTCGATAGGGATTGTATCAGGTGCCCTCCTGCAGCTCCGGGAAGAACTGCAGCTGGGCTGTTTCCAGCAGGAGATGGTGGTCAGCTCCATGCTCATGGGCGCTGTGATTGGCTCACTCACTGGGGGTAAGGACCAATCACGTGTAGAGCTGTGTATTCAAACAAATTTAGGTGCTGTGATTGGCTCACTCACAGGATGAGGACCAATCAGATGTAGAGCTGTGTATTCAAACAAATTTGGGTACTTTTTATTTGATTGGCTCACTCATGGGATGAGGACCAATCAGATGTAGAGCTGTGTACTTAAACAAATTTGGGTACTGTGATTGGCTCACTCACTGGGGGTAAGGGCAAATCACACAATCATATGTAGAGCTGTTTCATTTTGTCAAATTTGGGTACTGTAATTGGCCCACTCACTGGTATAAGCACCAATCACATCCTGTCATTGATCTAGCTTCTCTTGCAAAGACAGTCATATGATGTTGAGTGTACATCTATTTTGTTTTTTGTGACACTTGTTTTACATCCCATACTTGACATATTCAGTGAGTTGCTTATATTGTTGTATATTCAGTCCATTTTGTTCTTACTATATTGATGCTGCGATATAAGTCTCAGCATACGTTTCAATTTCCTCAAGTCACCCATAGAGAAATGATATTTTGTTACCCATGTTTCTGCAGGGTTTATAGTGGACAGATTTGGCCGGAGGTCGGCCATCATTGTGAATGCTGGTGTGTTTGTGTGTGGAGCCATGACCCTGGCTCTGGCACAGTCTTATGCAGTACTGGTGAGTCTGTGGTATAAAATGGGCTGTAAGATGATGGTAAGATAGTGGTGTAAGATGGGCTATATATAAGACGTTGCCATGATAGGTTTGTGGTTTAAGATGAGCTATAAGGTGTCACCATGCTCATTTGGGAAAATGTCTAGGATTGGAAACAAGCAAAATGTTCTATTAAGCATATATTAACCCTTGTCCTGCGGAGCCCATATAATATATACATGTACATGGGTTGCGCAGACAGGTCTAGGGGTGTTTCTCGTGCAATGCATCACACTGCGGCAAAACGCAATGACTGTGGAAGTAACTACGCCACCGCGGGGCAAAAAAAAAATCAAGGGTCTGTGACCTGATTAAGACCTTAAATTATTTGAAAATATTGTGTAAAAAATGCCAGCAGGACAAGGGTTAAGGTGGGATATAAGGTGTTACCATGCTTATTTTGGAAAATTTCTAGGATTGGAAACAGGCATAATGTTCTGTTTAACATATATTAGGCCACACCAATTTAATTTCTTGGTTAACGGATTCGCCGCTTCATTTTTTTCAGATTTGCAAATAAAAATAAAAATCCAGAATCAACTGCAAAATGCTCATATTTTGCCCTGAACAGTTGAAAACATATCTTTTCATCCTAGTTGTTACAGTTATTCCATCTTTCAATGCAATGGTATCATTAAAAGTTCAAAATTCATTGTTTAAATTTTGAACCAGCCTGGTGTGTTGACTCCATGGCTCCTATCGTACCATTTTGGGCCATAATACGATGCCTAGGCCTGTTTTTATTTTTATTTATTTTTCGCCCGCCCGCTCCATTATTTTTCTAGAAAAATCCGTTAACCAAGAAATTAAATTGGTGTGGCCTTAATACTTGCAAGAACAATACTCATTTGTTGCTAAATTATTGATGACTTGCTGACCTGAAATATGCAAGTATATGGACCCCATATCAAATCGTATGGCACTCAGGCTACAAGTGGTTCACTCATGTATGTTTGTACTTGGGCACTTGAAGGTGCTCTACTCAACATTCTCCAAACAGACCTCACTTCTATCTGGTATCAGGATTAAAAAGCACAGCTTCGGGCAGATTATCCTGTTCCTTTTGTGTGGGCGTGTTTTATAATAAATGTGTTGGGGGGAGGGGAGGTGGGCTGTCCAACCCTAACCTAACCTTCTGCAAGTTCATGTACCATACCTTGCTCTTGTACAAGTACAAGAAAAAGGTATGGTCTAAAACTTTTCCATTCATTTGTCTACAAGTCAACATTTCAAATGAATGTATACTGTACCATATCATGTGATACTGTGTTGTGTATATGTGTGTGTGGGAGGCTAGGACTGTACATGTGTAACCCTAACCTAACCCTACACATTGCCAAGTTCAAACTCAGCAACATTCAAGCACAAGTCATAGAGCAAGGAAACTCTTTACTATCTTTAATTGAGTAAATTAATACATTACATACACATGACTGTACATCAATAAACCAGACAGTGAGTGTGAGTGAGTGTGTGTGTGTTTCCAACAGAAGTTGTAGTATGCCTGGCTAAAATTTTTGCTCTAAATGAAAGATAGATGAATCTTGTAGTATTGTTGTTTGCTAGTTGTTACATGCCACATACTCCAGTTGTAAAGTTCATTCAAGCTGAACATTTTGTACATCAGATTATGTGCAGGTGTTGCACATTAAATGCTGGCAGCTCAGAGACCTGTATGCAATTCCATCTTATTATTACTCCATTATTTTAGACTAAAAAATTATACTGCAATACAGAAGTGTTGCACAGAATATGGTAAATATTAATGCTGGGCAAAAACCTAATTATTGGACAGGAAAGATTGGAGAAAACTTTCTGAAAGCTTCCATCATCCCCAGATTCAGGCTTAGGCATCTTTGTAAGGTTAGCTGTGAAGTTACAGTTTGCGGATAAAGTTTTGAGGTCGCACCATCATCTTGGTGGCCTTCAGTGAGTAGTAAAAACCTTTCCAGTGAGACCAGTAAACACCAAACCCTGTGTTAGCGCCGTGATAGTCCTCTGGCTGGTAGTAGGGACCATTCAGGACAGATTCAGCACAAGCTTTATACCACCAACCACCTGAATGCCACCGAGCACAGCTCTCACCCCACACATCATTGTCCATATCTCTAGCACTGAATTTCATACCATTTTTATAATCCATAGAGTCTCCAGCATCCCCACTGTACCCCCCAATGTTCAGTGTATAATCTGTACTCTCATCCCCAATGCTGAATGTACCATATTTAGCATATCTGCTGTTCCCTTCCCAATCCTGTAACTCCACATACAACTCATAGCTATTCTGGGATGTCAGGGTGTGAATTTTATCCAGTCCAAGCCAGTGTTCCCCCTCGACCCTCCCAAACCCAGCTTTGTAGTCTGGCCAGAACCTGTCAAAGTTGAGTCTCCCATCCACCCTCCTCTGTATGACAGTCCAGCCCCCACCATCTGTAGTCATGTCACAGTAGACGTCAAAGTGGTCGGTGGAAGACTCAGGTTTGATGGGGAAGACTCCGTCCTGCACTGCGTTGGTCCAGTAAAGTACAGGAAAAAGATGTGCACAGTCCAAGAAGTTAGCAGCACCGGGGGGAGGGGGGTCGTTCCTCTGGCTGTCAACATTCACAGGGGGGTTTACATCTGTAAAATAAATTCAATGTACATTATACTGATATTTGATCATACCTGTACCTGTTCAGGTACATGTACACAGTTCTACTCTCTAACTAAAGTTATTTTTTTATCATCCATGGTATGACTGGTGTATTGAGCTTCTAAAATGTTACAGTTTTACAGAAATGCCTGTCTCGAGTACTGAATCGTGCTGTCTCGCAAGAAATAAACAAAAGGTTGTTGTGTACCCGAGTTTTACTGCTGGTGAAATGAATAAACTGAAAGCTGAAACTGTTACTGTAACAGTTACTGCATAGTTTATCTACTAAAATTAGTAACTGTACAAAATATATGTAAAATAACTTCCGTAAAGTTAACGTAAGATCCATGTAACTATATATTGATTATGTGGCACACAGCAGAAATACAGATATTATAATGGCCAATATACATATCAAATACCTTGAGTAACTTGTGGTTGAGGAATCTCAGCAGAAAAGGTGACGCCGCCAGCCGCAAGCAAGATAACAGTCACCAGACTGAAGGTCAGGCCAGTCTGAAAAAATTTTTATAGCAAACAGGTCCATCAAGCTTTATCTTATCAACAGAATGCCCAATTTTTACGTTCTGCACATTTCAGAGTTTTTTCCCTACCAGGATATGGCCACTTGTTTACACCCATTTTTTTCAAGTTTCTTCAAACTTCCCCCAAACTTCATTCCCAGTCATCAATCTATAGCTAAGCGAACTCCCAGTCTTTTCAATTTACTTCATTCTTATGTGAAGAAATGGAGTAGGAACTTACCTTAACCATGTTGGCAAGTCTGTGATCTTTGTTCACACCAGAATGAGCTCCCGTTGTTTCCTCTGACCAGAAGGCAAACCTCCGGCTTTTTAACACTTCTCCTGTCTTATCAACTGGGAAGATCAGCTGACACTGTTGTATATGTAACATTATGTATAAATCACATGTCACATAGAAAACGTGTTTCAAAGTTTGTTTGAATTCGTGACTAAAGTTTTGATAATAACTTGCACATTTCTCCTGTTTTATCAACTGGGAAAATCAGCTGATGCTGTTGCATCGTTACTAATGCATGGTATAAATGTTGTGTTTTCAAGTTTGTAGATTTCATGTTTTACGTTTACATGTAGCATTATCCTGCACATTTGCCCAAACTTTTCAATCAAAATAAGTCAGTTTCCATGTTGGGAAGTTCTGTGCTTTGGTTAGTGGGAAATTCCAATGCTGAGTTTTGCACTGAGTCTCTCACCTGTCTGTAATGTTTTACTGCGCAACTATCACCTGAGTGCACGTTCACTAAAAACTCCACAAACACACATCTTAGAGGGCCACAAAATTTTCGCTGCCGATAACGAATTACGTTAAATTCTCAGACTTGATTACGAACAGAATTACGTGTTATGGCTAATTTACTGAGTGTGTTGTGTGTGTGTGTGTGTGTGTGTGTTGGGGGGAGGGGAGGTGGGCTGTCCAACCCTAACCTAACCTTCTGCAAGTTCAGGCTAGGCAACGAGAAGTACAAGAGCAAGGTACTGTCTAAAACTCTTACATACAACCTTAATGCTTATACTGTACCCTATGTGTGTTGTGTGTGAATGTGTGTGTGTGTTGTGGGGGCTCCGCAACTAATGGGGATCCCAATAAAACAAATGTGAAACGTACAAAAGCAAGGTATGGTCTAAAACTCTTACATTCATTTGTCTACAAGTCAACATTTCAAATGAATGCATACTAGTACCACCATATTATGTGATACTGTGTTGTGTATATGTTTGTGGGGGAGGCTAGGACTGTACATGATATAAATGTAACAAAAACTGTTTACATTATAAAGCTGAAGCCTGTAGAAAGGTGTAAAAGAGTGTTTGTTTGCAAACACACTTGTTATAATATCCTGTGCAAGTGTCAGCTGTTACATGCTTAGTTACAGCACTATTCTCTATTGTGTTATAATGCCATCCCAATTAGGCCAGACCAATTTAATCTCTTGGTTCTTGAATTAGCTTGTTTCTTTTTTTCTAAATTGGAACATGATGTCTGTTTTTTCACCCACCTCAGTTCTACTTGTATCTGGTATTAGGATGAATATATATCAATTAATTTCATTCATTAATTCATAATATCTTCATTAATTTCCTACAAATTGCCAAGAATCAATGAATCAATCAGTGTGGACTAAATCTGATAAATGTGATGCAGTGAAGACACAACAGTGCTGATTCCATGCTATCATTAATCCCAGGTGACAGGGAGGCTAGTTGTAGGGTTTGCAGTCTCCCTGTCTGCCATAGCAGAGTGTATCTACATCTCTGAGATTGCTCCTTCGGTGAGTAGCAATGTTTGACATGTGAAACTTTAACTTCAATAAGTTTTTAGTAGGCTTTATTTTTTGGTTTCCAGAATTGAAAGAAGAAAGTTGTACTTTTTTGGTCACTGTCTGTGAACTTTGTTTTCAATTGACCTTTTTTTTTGTTGAAATTTGATAATAAGTTGTTTATTGCAAATTCATGCCCGAGGGCTAATTGCATACAGACATTGACAAGAAAAATGTGGTGATATAAGACTATTTGCTAATATGAAGTTCTACGTGTACGATATACTTATCGAACCTACTATCTCTACTTAAATCTAATGTTGGTATAAAAAACAGGATAAAAAAAGGAAATATGCAATATGTGAACAGGTAATAGGAATAAGGTAACTTCTATTCTATTCTATTAAACTATTCTTGCTATGCTATTAGGGGGTTTAATAATCTCCAAGCAAATACCAGTGAATGGCAGTGATACCCCTTGTGGGGTTGTTAGAGACTAATGATTGAAGATGAATATTGGATTTTGATTTGATTTGATTTGTTGAAATTGCAACAGTGCAATACACGCGGAACAGAGGCAGCTGTTGCTGATGTTGTGTCCCACACATAGAAATGAGTACAGGACAGACAACACTCATTTTCACTTGAGTCAAGTGGATAGTTTCTTGTGTATATTGGATATTGTCTTTGGTTACGACTTTCCTTGCACTCTCTTAACCATAGTCTGTTCTGATTTTCCAGAGTAAACGTGGTATGCTGGTGTCCTTAAATGAACTGGGCATCACCCTGGGTATCCTCGTGGCATATCTGGTCAACTTTCTCTTCATCAGTGTTCCAAATGGATGGTGAGAATGACTTACTTTATATTGTATGTACATGTAGCTGTTTAATGCTGATGCCCTTCATACATTGTAATGGAATTAATCTGTCATCTGCACCACAGTACACCAATTCTTATGCTGTAATTAAACGTTCACTCATCAATATGTGTATGATATGACAGAAATGTACGGATTTGTAACACTGGCATTGTAAATCATGAAGTTTTGTGCTGATTTGTTTTGTTGTAGGAGGGATAGAGAGGTTTTTCACAGTGTTTTAAATTCACAGTTCTGTGTTACAGTAGTACTACAATGGAGACATATTCATGGTACCACACTGCAGTATCATGTGTTTGCAGTGGAAAGGTCACCATCCATCCATCCATCCATCCATCCATCCATCCATCCATCCATCCATCCATCCATCCATCCATCCATCCATCCATCCATCCATCCATCCATCCATCCATTCATTCATTCATTCCTTCTGTCGCTCCTGTAGGAGGTGGATGTTCGGTCTGTCCTCCCTGCCTGCCATAGCCCAGGGACTGGGGATGGTGTTCCTGCCTCCCAGCCCGAGGTACCTCATCATCAACAGGCAGGAGGAGAAGGTGGGTTGTTGAAAAAGTCAGGCAGGGATGTGGGAAGGGGGTGTGATGCTTCATTGTTATGATGCCATAGAGAAACTGTACATTTAGCATACTGTAGAGTTTGGATGCCTTGCTCCAAATTGTTCTGTAAGATTTTGTGATGTGAAGAATGATGGGGATGGTGCTTCCATGTTTCTTCAAAATTATTATACACTTGTATATATTATTATTATTATTCATGTTGCGAAAGGAGGATTGCACGTAGGGTTTGTTGAAAACTGGAGAGAGGTTGGGGAGCAAAGAAAATGGAAGAATTCATCCTCATGTCTAGAGGACAAAGTGGAACCTGTTCTACTTTCTTTAACAAGTGGATGCATTACGCCAAAAAGCAGTTACTCAAGCAACTGGATATGATTTTGGAAACGGTCAGACGTTTCAGCTAGTATCCACTAGCTTTCGTCAGTGACTGAGAGACCAGAGGAGAAATGCAAGTTTATAATCTGCTCTGGTCTCTCAGTCACTAACGAAAGGTAGTGAGTACAATTTGAAATGTCTGACTGGTTCCAAAATTATAATATCCAGTTGCTTGATTAACTGCTTTTTGGCATATCGTATTACCTGGATGTCTAACTTTCATAGAGGAATAGACATGTATTTAGAATGGTGCTTATTTTTTGTGCTTCTGATATCCAACCTGCCACAGGCTCAGCAGGTTCTGAGGCAGCTAAGAGGCAGCAGTGTGGATGTGGAGCTGAACAACATCAAAAACTCCCTACAGACGGAACAGGTAGCCCATACTGCATCAGGGTTCTACTTTATCTATATGTGATCTTTGTAAATAAAAATTTATGCCGCCCATATGAAGAGTTGCTGGGTTGAGAAAAAGACGGGACTCAACTGGTCCAAATTTGTAAACTTTTTGAATAATTTGTAGGTTGATGTTAGACTAGGCATGAAGAGTTATGTACACATCATGCTTCTCTCTTTTCCACTTTGTTTTGCATCTGTTGTCATTAGAAAACGTCCTACAGCTGCTTCAGTCTTTCTTCATCTTTCTCCACTGTGCCTTGTGTGTCTCAAGAGCTCCCTTTAGCTCTCAGAGCTTCCTTTTGTATTTCTCTGTATGTTGTCTTTCTGAAGTAGAATTTTATGCCCCCATATAAACATTTACTGGGTTGAGAAAAAGACAGGACCCGTATGTCCAACTTTTGAAACTTTTTGAATCTGTAATTTGATGTTCTTGTTCTAGTAAGACTAGTTCATGAAAATATTAACTTATGGTTTTTCTGTGTTTGCAGAAATTTGGTGTGTTTGACCTGTTCAGGACTGCAGGCAACATGAGGGGGAGGATGGTGATTGGAACAGGAATTGTCTTCTTTCAACAGGTACTTGGATAGATTGTGATTAAGTAAGTTTATCAGTCAGGGATTTTACTGTGAAACATGTCTGTCCCTGTCCTTGGTGCTGAAAATCACCCACATGTGAAAACATGCCTGTCCTTGGTGCTGAACACCATTCACACACACACACACACACACACACAGACACACACACACACAGACACATGTCTGTCCTTGGTGCTGAACACCACCAACACACAAACATACATGCCTGTCCTTGGTGCTGAACACCATCAACACAAACATACATGCCTGTCCTTGGTGCTGAACACTATCTGCCACAAGTATAATAGCCTGTTGTGAACATAAAAAAGTTGATTTGTACATATAGTGTGAATAAAGCTATGCCTTTCCAGTTCACAGGGCAGCCCAATGTGCTGTACTATGCACCCACTATCTTCCAGCTGGTTGGCTTCCAGAGTAACACAGCAGCCACCCTGGCAACTGTTGGACTCGGTATTGTGAAGGTGAGAACCAATGATGCTCAGAATTGATGAAACTGTAACTGTGGTACATGTAAGAAAAAGAGACCATGATATAAATTGTGAATATTTCTTAGAAGGAATTTTGTGCTTCAGCTTGCATTACGTTATAACATGCTGCCAATTTTCTGTACCATCCAGTGGACTATCTTTAACCAGTAGATGGTGGACATATGACTACATGTGAGGTCAAATGTATAGTATAGTAGTCCTAATATCACAAAGGTTTTTTATTGATCACACCAATCTTAAGAGTAAAGGTTAAATCCTTCTATTTTACTATGACTTATTGACTAAGAGCTTTTAAAATAATAATTATTATAATATTTTTAAACATTGTGACTCATTGTAAGAACGATTCAAATTTGTGCTGCGTTTGTGTTACCAGTAAACCTTTCCTAACAACGCAAAGTTTACAGTCTAAGCTGGTGTGTTACGCCAAAGGGCGGTTATACTAGCTGTACTGATACAGGTAAAATTCAGTAAACAGATACAGTGTTCCTATTTCGTTCTTTTGTCCCAGGTCCTGTCCACCATTGTGTCCCTCTGCCTGGTGGACAGATTTGGGCGTCGCAAGTTCCTCCTGGCCGGTGCGACTGTCATGGCGGTGAGCATTCTCATCCTGGGCGTCATCACACACTCCTTCCCAGCCAGCGAGTTCAAAAGGCCATGCGAGAGCGGAAACGACACCTTACCAGGATCCACACACACCAGGGACGTTATCTTTCCAGCGACCTTGTTTGAACCCACGTTAAGATACGGAAATACAGTCACGTCTCCAGTAACTGTTCGAGGAATTCGTCAGAAGAGCAAGAAAAACTTCATCTGGACCTCAGGTGTGGACTTGATGAGTGGATCAGGAGCTCAGCTTATAAGGAGAGTTTTGCGGAAGCATCCAAACGCAGTTTCGAGTGTAGAGTTTGTCGGTAATGAGACAGAAGATGGGACAGAGTTGGAGGTGATGGTACCAGACAGTGCCAAGGGGATATCACTGCTCACACTGATGGTGTTTGTGGCTGCGTATGCCTTTGGCTTCGGCCCAGGTAAAGCTTTTTACACTCTACTGTGTGTTTGTTTGATCCTTATGTATTCATGAAAAACTGAAATTGGCCTGCTGGCCAGCATTGATTGAGATAATTAGGGAAAAAGTAAGGGTCAGACCGAGTATAACAAAGATAGATGTTAAAGGCTTGTTATTTTATTCTCACTATACATTTGCATGTAGCACTACTTCTAGCCTCCAACAGGCTTTTCTAAGGGGTTATTGACAATATAACATGGCAGTAATAGTGTGGCCAGGAGTGAGCCTGCAGTTAGGGTAACATTTTCGTTTGTGAAGGAAAATGAACTCTATGGTAGCCAAACTCAGCTGGCAGATCTTTCCTTCCACTTAGCTAAATTTTACTATTTATCATCTAGAGTTGTTACTCTGATATAGACTGATGAAACATGTTTATTATGTTTACCAAAGGAAAACATATTGTTTTTACTCAATTTCTTCTTCTTCTTCTGTTCCAAATACTAACCTCTGACCTGGCCAATTGCCTGATTTGTTGACGTCTGTCACCATGGTAACGTGTTGGGTTATATCGTGTTGCAAGTTTATAGTTATTAGGAGACATTTAGACTCCTGTCACTGACTCACTCACTCACTGTCTGACCATATATATCAATGTGAGTAAGAATTAATAGCAGACCACATGTGAAGGTAAACATTATGCACTTGCTTTGCAAATGTTATATTTCTAGTTAACATGTTGTCATGGTTACTGTTCCCAGTATCGTGGCTGGTGCTGAGCGAGATTTTCCCCGTGAATGTCAAAGGTCGTGCTGTGGCCCTCACTACGGTGCTGAACTGGGGAACTAACCTGGTCATCTCCCTGTCTTTCTTAAACCTCGTGGGTAAGTTCTGCTTTGAATTTCTTAGAAGGCATCCAGTGCAGTTTTTAGGGCTTGGAAACCGATTTTTTTCAAAGTTAATATTCTAGTCACTTATCTACATACTGAGTTGAAACCACACTATCCCAATCCCAATGTATATTGACCCTCATGGAGCAAAAATTCTGACAGAAAATGGTTACTAGAAGGACCTTCAATCTGATGATTTTTAGGCTCATTCTTTCCTAGAACTATGGCAGAGTGGGACTCGCTGTCACCAAGTACAGTAGGGGCATTGTCATTACCGGGTAGATAGCTTTATACAATGTTTAGACTTAAACGTTCAAGGGTTAGGTGTAACAAGCTGTTCGGTTTGATATAGCCAACTACCGCCGCGCTCGTGCCTGCGAAGCTGGTGTGTTACGCCGAAGGGCAGTCATACTGGCTATACAGATACAGATACTGAACTCCCATCCCTGATCCTAACGTTGTCCCTACAGAGTCTGTGGGTATATCTGTGGTGTGCCAGGGGTATGCAGTGATGGGGGTGATCGCTGCTGTCTTCATCCTACTGGTGGTTCCTGAGACCAACAAACAAACAAACAAACAAACAAACAAACAAACACTGATCCTAACCTTTTCCCTACAGAGTCGGTGGGTATATCTGTGGTGTGCCAGGGGTATGCAGTGATGGGTGTGATCGCTGCTGTCTTTATCCTACTGGTGGTTCCTGAGACCAACAAACAAACAAACAAACAAACAAACAAACAAAAAAACAAACAAACACTGATCCTAACATTTTCCCTACAGAGTCTGTGGGTATATCTGTGGTGTGCCAGGGGTATGCAGTGATGGGCGTGATTGCTGCTGTCTTCATCCTACTGGTGGTTCCTGAGACCAAGAACAGGACTCTTGAGCAGATCTCTCACGACCTGGAAACTCGGTCAGTCACTACATGTAGCTTATGCTGACTTACTATGTACACGTGTTTGGGGAGGGGGCAAATGAGAGTTCAATTGAGTACCTTAAGGTGAATGAGTGGATAATGTAATATGTGTGAATGGCTGCATAGTCTGCATTTCAAGACACAGAAACAAAATTTGTTTTAACTGATTTTAACTGTTTCCATCTAATGCACTTAACATAACAGAGAGGGTTAGTCATCACCAGAGCCAACTGGATGCCCTAAGCCAAAACAGAACATCATTGGCAAAGATGCATGAAGATGACAAACTGATGGATGTTAACTCTTTGTCAAAACTGTTAATTTTAACTTGCCTGTGCTCCATTTTTCTACTATTTAAAGGTCATCATTTTAATTTGACCTCTGAACACTCTTTTTGTTTCCGCATATCAGTTCTGTCTGCGGGCGGTTGAACCAGTGGCTCGCCTGTTGTCGGGGAGGCCTCAGCAGAAGGCGGCACGCGTCTGTCCGGATAGAAGACTCTGTCTACAGTCCCATCCACAGGGAGCCCATGCACCTCTAACTCCATCCACAGGGAACACATGCACCTCTAACTCAACTCATCATTAAAGTTCATCTGCGTTGGTAGTAGCCATAGTAGAATGTTGAACGTTATTCCAACACACGGGTTATACAGAGATCAAATTTTCAATGACCACTGTCGCCTTCATCAGGACAATGTTAGAATACTGGACACTGAACAGGACTACGCTAAGGAAGCCATGTCCAGCCATCACTTAACAGAGACGGTGGACGATATAAACTCCCTGGCACATTTGATCAATTAATTCCAAACGTCAGGTGTCCGTAAAGTCTCGTGTGAATAAAGTTGTGTGTGTAACTGTATCTCTTGTGAGATCACGTTGTGAAGTGATTGGTCATAAATTATCCAGATGAAGGCGACAGTGGTCGTTGAAAATTTGATCTCTGTGTAATCCTTGTGTTTGAATAAAGTTAAAAATTTTACTATCTAAATCAACTTCACTCCACAGTACAGCCAGGAACTCGTATCCTGATATCCAAACCTACATTACAGTTGCCAAGTCTCTTTTGCAAGTAGAATTGTTTACAGAGTTTACAAAAGAGGCTCGGCAGCAATGGTAGCTTGGACTCCATGCACCTTGCAGGTGTACGAAAAACTTAATACTGGTATGTGTGATATGTAAAAAAAAACTTATAGAGGATGTATCTTTGCCAAACGATGAAAGATAAAGTCTACTGTTATATAGTGTAACTCAGAACACTCCAAATATTTCTGTACAAATTCTCCTCAGGTTTTATTAACAGAGTCAGTAATGTATAAAGTTGAATATAGATTAAATATATATTAAAGCAATACTATTGTGCTTGTAAACTTGTAGGTCTAGGCACCCATATCACTATTTGTATTCGATATGTAGTTACTGTAATGGTATTTGACAGTTTTGGTGGATAGAATTTTGAAATTTTGATGATTTTTTTTTTTTTTACAACACTGTAAATACACATAGAACTCACAACGTAAGAGCACAGGCAAGACATTGTCACTTGTCAATATTCATTTCGGATGTGTAGACTTTAAAAGACATTCCCTGGTACTTACATTTTGTATAATGTGTAACAGTTCATGATACAGAAATTTTCCTTGTTTTAGACCGGCCAAGTCTCAAAACACTTGAGAAACTACCTCTTGGCATTTTGAAACATGTTTAGGAGAAATCTGACATTTTCTAAAACTACTAAAAAGATTTTATGTTATAGAATGTTGTTCGTGAAACTATAGACATCCAATGTAACGTCTCATGAATGTTCATGGCTAAAGAGGAATTTATCGATACTTAGTAAAACTAGTGTACATTTTTGGGAAAAGGGGAACAGTTGTCCAAAAGCCTTGTGCATATGTTTGCTTGGTGTTATCTTGTCCCACCAATTTATCCACCTACATGTAACTGCTATTTTTTGGCAGAAACATCAATATGTGCAGTATTCTTATTTGCACTGTATGTTTTTATATTATACAGTCCTTCCGATGTAATTCTTAACCTTGTGTATGCGACAAACCTCGCAGTTGCCCTTTTAACAGCAGATAAATACATGCCGTGTAAATACTATAATTCATTACCCGAAAGCTTTAAAGAAAGCTTTAAACATATCCTCCAGTTAGATGTGGAAAGATTAGGTGTAAAAGGTTGTTTGGTGTAATATAGCTGACTGCTGTCAGGCTATGTACCTGCAAAGCTGGTGTGTTACCCTGAAGGGCGGTTATACCGGCTATACAGATACAAAAGCTGGTGTGTTACGCCGAAGGGCGGTTATACAGATACAGAAGCTGGTGTGTTACCCTGAAGGGCGGTTATACCGGCTATATACTGATACAGATACCCACTGCCTTCAAAGAAGGAGTCATACCTCATAATAGCAAATGTAGTTAAGTTGATGAGACTGTAGTTACAATGTAATTATGTATATAATACTGTTATTGTATTTTGCCCCTATATTTGTTGACTTTCCAAAAATCAGCCACACTTCCAAAAGGCAGTGTAATAATATTAAATATCATTTGCCAATAAATAAATTGATAAAAGACTGCAGAGGTTTGTCCTGAAGACTTTTATTTTCATTCATAGTGTGTGTACAGAAGTTTTAAACACCTTCTAGTTTCTCTCTCAGGTTCCTTCCGCATGTCTTAACCTCCGAGGTGAGGAACATCTTCACCACTTAAAGAAACTTTCCAGGTGTTTTTATTATTATCTCTATTATCACATATATCCAGGTGTTAATTACCTAATCGTAGGACACACATATTTAGAACATTTTGGTAAGCGAGTATACATGCTCTCATAGTCGGTGTACCAGATTGAAGTAGAGCTGGTGTCTGGGATGTCATTTTGTGAGTTCTGCTTGCTATTTTGCTTGTTGCATTTTGCTTGAGAATTAACCATATTTGATGAGCATTTACAACAGGCAAGTTCTTTCTGTTGCTTTTTATTGCGTGAAGCAGTGAATGCAAATTTTTCTTGTGGGTTAGTGATTTTTAGACCCTCAAGATGACATCCGTACACCTAAATATACCTATGGTTGTTAAAGGTTGTTATTACATTTTTACATCTAAATTTACACAATAATCTTTATTATAGTTCTTTTGTGCTTGTTAAACCTGAGCATGCACTACATAGTTGTGTCGTTGGTACCCCCTCACCATCAGTTTGTGTAAAATATATCAAACCACGCAATAAAAACACTTAAAATAGGAGAAAACATCCTTTTCCTAATGCCAACGCACTTTCGTTTGCCTCCATAGTTGTTGCAGAAATAACCTCCAGACTGAGTCAACTCTGACAGTCCCTCACCTGAAAGAAATACCTTTTCACAACAGAACAGTTAACTGAAAGGGTATTGCGTTAAAATGCTCAATACTTGTACTTTTAGTGCAAGCATGCATTTGTCAGTTTGAACATTTAGTCCGATAGAAAACCCTGGGCCCGGATGTCATTTGAAAAACACACACACAAAAAAAATGATGCAGATCAACTTTTTTATGGCTTCCCTCCTTGCGAATTTGATTGCCCTCTTCAAGAAATTTGTTGTGATTCTTCATGATTGTCAAGCAACTTTTTCATCTCTTCAGGATTGTCGAATACTTTTATTATCGTTTTTCCATCCACATCATTGAACCGTTTTAAAACAAAATCATACATATGAGAGCTGTCCCATATTCAGTATAATCGTAATAAGAATGAGGAACTGTAAGAGTTGAAGAGTCTGGCTTAGACCTAAGGGTTTTTCCTTGATCCCACCACCTTTCTGTTGTCATTAACCGACCACCTTATTCTGTTTCCATTAACCGACCACCTATATATTACCACTGACAGCAGCTTCTGCAGATTGGCCTCCTACGATCATTGTGCTTCTACAACCCTTGTACACCGTTATTTACATTTTCCTGTCTGTCTGTATGTACATTTCTTTCTCCACAGTCCTGCTTGTGACAACTCAACCTACGTACACATACATGTAACCGTTACTATATATAGCCAACCAATCAGACCATAGCTTAATGATTCAAGCTGACCAATCACAGATGGCAGCAAACTGAATACAAGTCATAAACGGATCCAAAATATTAAATGTTGTGCAAAATATTAAATGTAAAAATTGTAAAAATCAAGCATTCAAATCACAGCAAACTTTAAAGTAATGCTATACATGATTATGTTGTGGTAATGTAGATCAAACGTGCGCAAAATGAGTCCTTACATTGTGTTTCAACCTATTCTACAAAACATTGAGAAATCTCTTTAAACCACTAGAAATATGTAACAAGTGAAAGAATGGTTCATTGTTTAGTCTTCCATTTCATTAATATTGCTCTAGTCTATTTTGTAGTTTAACTATATAGAGATGATTCTGAATGAAATATAGACAACCTTTCTTTTTTCTACATTTGTTAATGTTACTTCTCTGATCTACAAGCTAGGAGGTTAGATCCTACATACAGGTTAGTGGTGTAATATAGGTACAATCTAGTTTTTAAGCCTTGAGTGAGAACATTTATATTCTATGGATGGTAACTGGTGCATTAATATTTACTAAGCTGCATATAGTTTCTTCTACTTGTAGTTCTTGTTATTATTATTACACACAGATGTTAGTAGTCTATTTCGGTTTGCTAATAGTTGTGAATTTTCTTTCTCGAATTATAGAACTCTTTGAGCCCGCTAGACTTGAGTGTATGGATGGTTCGAGTAACCCTCTTTTCTTTCTCAGCTTGTCGTATCTTGTGGCAGTTCTTCCTTCAATGTTCGGCTATTTTCTCTCTATCAGTAATTGTTATTGAGTGTGTTGTAATGACGTAGATTATAGATATCTCGTCCCCCACAAGGAACTCTACATCTATAGTCACATGTTACAGTCTGAGTAAGTGTTCGTTATTGTCTAGCACCAGTTCTACCTACAGTCTAACAGGTTTGCCTAACTCTGTACAGGTATAGAACGGAGAACTCTCTAGCCTAGAACCCCTAATTACTGGTAAAGCAAAGCGAAATAAGCTGGGGGCTTTTCCTCATAGTAAGTACATGTATCACGGTTGTCATCATCCAATGTACATGTACTTATTCAAAGTGATTGTGAGCATTTACAAAGAAAGGTTGTTGCCTATATGATTCACTCTTGAGTTTGCTTTATAAGTATAGCTGACACTGGTGCAGTAAGCTCAATTCATAGTGGAAATCTAGCGCATATTATCGGCCAGCAGTTATAACTTGTAGTTTGCGATGTAGAATTCCTTTCCTGTTTGTTTGTTTGTCTATTCGAAACCTTAATAAACATACAAACATGGTACGAAGCTGATGTTAAGGCTAGCATGTAAGAATAGGGAAAGCTGGAACGTCCTATTCTTCCACTGGAAGTGGCCATTTTAACTTCCAGTGTTTGCTGCCTTTTAAAAGACTGTTTTTCCTTCTTAGATGTAGGGCAGGGTGTTTGGCTGAAGATGTTTATAATGTTGTGATGTGTTAAGAGACTGCTGGCAATCCTTAGTAACCACTATGAATTAGTCTCCTTGCAGACCAATGCA